TCAAAACTCTCTTCAAAATTGATCTCATCATTATCACTATCATAACTATATCTTTCATCGTCCATTGCGTTCGAACGTTCTCGGCCTTTGTTTGTTAGTTCTTCTTTCAAGATTCAGGGAGCGTTCGTCTGTGTTGATTGACGAAGAGGCGGATTCTACCCCAACTACATTTACTAGGAGACAGAATATCTGCGGAGAAAAATCACGTTTGATTCGTTAAGTGTGCTTAGTGCGAGTATTTTAATACGCTTATAATAGCTGCATACGTATATTAGTATGTAACGGAATCTTTGAACATGATTTTGACCCCCTTCAAAACGTCGGATTAACTCGAAATTTGGCATAGGTATAAATGACCAATGACAATTCAATCTTTTAAACAGTTTGATCCGTTATCCTTACTAAGATAATCAGGATTAGCGATTTTTTGTTTTCTTTAGACCCGAAGTGACTGCGTCAAGATCAAGAAGGGAAACTACCAGGCTATATAATATACTATATTTCTTCTACTAGCTATATCGAGTATATATTCTAAAAGCAGCCAATATATACTTAAACTCACTTTAGTTGAAATTGATGTAATGAAAAACACATAATAGTTTGAAAAAAAAAACAAAAAAATACGCTTTTATAGAAAGTCAACATTTTTTTATTGCTTAGATGAGTGGACGAGCTCACAGCCCACCTGGTGTTAAGTGGTTAAGTGGTAAAGTGGTCTCAGTATAGTTACAACGGCTGCCCCACCCTTAAAAACCGAAACGCATTACTGCTTCACGGCAGAAATAGGCAGGGTGGTAGTACCCACCCGCGCGGAGTCACAAGAGGTCCTACCACCTGTAAAAAGTGTAAGACAAAGTGTAAGTAAGAGAAGTCGGTCCCCACATTAGCATTAGCGAAAGGCACAGCAAAGTGTGGCCTAATTACACTAATACCTTGTGGGTGACTCACATGTATTCATTTATTTTATAATATTTTATTACATAAATGGATAATCTTTTTCTTAGCGTACTCTATATTTAAAATTGGCGCCAAATTTATTTCTAACAAATATACCACAGCATATATGTACATACAGCCACGATCTACTGATGGTAGGGTATATTGTGAGCTTGTACGGGTTTGTAACACAGTTCTGCCCATTTATGCCTCGGTGCAATTAGGACGTCCGATTTAAAGTGTCCAATGAAGACAGGAATTCAGGCAACGAGTTCACGTCCAAAGGTGAGCTATGGCTTTTGCTTCGTGATACGAGATATTTTAATATTATATTGAATGTTAAGAAAATTGTCAGTTAAATATAAGCTGCTATATATAATAAAATAAGTAAGTAAGTATAAGTGGCATTGGATTGGTCACACTTTGAGAAAGCCCGATACCCACCTATCAAAGAGAGCACTGACCTGGAAAGTGTCTGGCAAAAGGAAGAGAGGCCGCCCCAGAACAACTTGGCGTCGCTCGGTGGAGCAGGAGCTAGGGGTCTTGGGCATGACGTGGGAGGAACTAGAACAGACTGCCCAAGACCGATATAAATGGAAAAATTTGATTCGAGCCCTACACCCCAGCAGAGGGTAATAGGAAAGAATGATGATGATGATGATGATGATGATGATATATAATAAAATAAATAGTTTATACATGTGAGTCACCCACATACCTAGTTAAATAAAAGTATTTATGGAAAGGATAATGGTTAAATGAAAGTTTCAGATGCTTTGCCTTGTTTATTTCTTAGAATTAGTGTTCAAAAATCGAAGCATTTGTACACAATAACCTTTAGAGGACATAGATTGTGATGCCGGTAGTGCTTGCTATACGTTATCAACACAAATCTCCGTCGCGACATCCTTCATTGTCCTTGCACGGCAATTGGGGTTTCCTTGACTGCTATCCGACTCAATCTTCTCAATCTACGGCCGTTATTGCTTTGACTGTTCGCAGATTAGCGAGGAGTGAGGTGTTAATATAAATTCTTCCTTCTAGTGATTTCCCTCGGATTTAACCTGATCGGTCGGTCTTTATGTGTGGTAGCCGCTGCTGATCCTGGCTACACAAGAGCTACAGTCAAGCCTGTGGTGTGTCAAGCGATCGTCCGTCAGGTAGGAACGTGGGGGGACGCACCGTTTTGCATTTCCTCGAAGGATGGAACACCAGTAGACGTGTTATTCAAAGACTGATTATAAGTGTGAGATTTAAGGTATTAGCAAAGAAGTCTTTTAATTGAGATTAATTAGGTATTTAAATAATTATCAAAATAGATCGAAGGACCATATGATGTTAATTGCGTACTGTTTTCCCCAAGTAAGGTGTGTCGATTGCGCAAACAAAACTACTTCTTATGACAAGAGATGTGACAGATCATTTGTAACGTGTAGCGTGTAACGGCATTTGTTTTTGTGTCATACTTATTTTGTTTCCGTCTCAACAACGTCGGCCGCGCTTTGAGATGCGGCCAGATTCTCGGTAGCGATCGCCCCACTCGAGGCAGATAATATTTTAGTTGGGGTTTCTTTAGTCTGGGATCCTTCTTCCATTTCCTCCATTTCTTCCATTTCCTCCATTTCTTCCATTTCCTTTTTCTCGTTCATTTCGTTGCCTTCTTCAGTCTTGCTGGTGGTGTCCTTTTCTTCAGTGTACGCAGATCGGCCCGTATCGTAACTTGATGCATATCGCTTAGTACGTTTCGGAAGGTTTTTATTGTTCATATTGGAATCGCCTGTCGCCGAACTGGATGCTTCCACCATCAGCATCACGACGAAGCAGGAAACCTGTAGGAGAATCTCGTATTATTCACCTGGACCTTGCTGTGAATGGCTCTAAGGGAAGACAAAAAAAAAACATTCACTGAGTTACGTGAACTAGAAACATTTACGAGACAATTAGGAACTTTATAACGCTGTTTAAGCAGGGAGATTTCCACACGCCTCATCGACGCCTCAGGGGATTCAAGGGCTGGCGCGCATTTCGGACAAATGAGGTCAGCCTGAGTTGAGCCTGGCCATTCAACGGGGAAATGCCGTCAGCCTCTTGTACCCTACCTTGCGAGCGCAGCGATTTGGGGTCGATTTTTTACATTATCTAGTTTTATTTTTAGTTTGGTATAAGTATATATAGGTATCATGTAGCTTGTTGACAATTTTATAATGTTAATTGTGTTTTAGTGTGCAATAAACGTATTTAATTAGACGCTGATAATCGAACCACCGGAGCAATAGACGAACTAGAATTTCAACATGAGCTTAAGCTCTTACGTCACTACGGATCCTCCCGATCCATTAACGGTGCTTTTAAGTACCTCAAGCCCACTGTTAGCCAGTGTTAGCTACACTCCCGGTTTGAGCCCCGTGAGTTCACCATACACGTCAAAGCGAAGCTGAAATAGCCTCTCAAGGCTATTAGCATAGCCAGAGAAGAAAAAATTTGCCCAAGTTAATCATAATATAGACAAGGGTGTCATTGAAGACTGATTTGGAGCCTCTGGGTCTGCGGAGGGACTTCGGTTCCCTCTGTATTTTGTACCGCATGTTCCATGGGGAGTGCTCTAAGGAATTGTTCGAGATGATACCAACGTCTCGTTTTTACCATCGCACCGCCCGCCACCGGAGTAGAGTTCATCCATACTACCTGGAGCCACTGCGGTCATCCACAGTGCGTTTCCAGAGATCTTTTTTGCCACGTACCATCCGGCCATGGAATGAGCTCCCCTCCACGGTGTTTCCCGAGCGCTATGACATGTCCTTCTTCAAACGAGGCTTGTGGAGAGTATTAAGCGGTAGGCAGCGGCTTGGCTCTGCCCTTGGCATTGCTGAAGTCTATGGGCGACGGTAACCACTCACCATCAGGTGGGCCGTATGCTCGTCTGCCTACAAAAGCAATAAAAAAGAAAAATTACTTCAGTTCCCAAGCGTTTGGTTCATAATAGTGCGTATGATATGAAGTCTACAATGTAAGATGATTGAGTAATGTTGAGACGAATTATAGACGGAAACCGAGAATCTGGTAGCGAACGAGGAATTGTTCCAAATGTATTTATCGCATGATGGCGACACACAGACTTGAGCAACAAAAATACACTTACCAACAAAATCTTCATGGTTGTTCGGTCAAAATCAGAACTTGTTATGAATTTAATTCGACAAAGTAACGTATTTATACATTAAATTTTAACCTAGATTAAATGTTTACTCATTTAAGGGCCATCATTTGAATAAAAACAATAGATTCTATTGACAAAACTCTACTATAGATTCGGCTTGATACAATTATTTGTTGTACTGTTCTGACTAGTGTCCTTGACCGAATAAGCACGTGTTATAGGTAACCTTTTGAAGCCTTTTTTTATGATTGAAGGATTACTGGTGGCCCGGAGGCCTATCCAGTTTCACCAGGACAGGTGGGCGAGCAAAGGCTCAGCCAGGAGGGGTCGGATTTGCTAACAGCTACCCGAGCGCCTCCGAAGGAGACCTAACAGCTCAAGAGTAGCTGCTTCGCGAATGAATCTACCGCCGCGTAGATTCGCCGCGTGAGCGAACACCACACTCGCGTAAGTCATGACGGGACCTTTTGAAGCCGTCGTGGCCTAAAGGATAAGACGCCCGGTGCATTTGTATGTAGAGATGTAACGGTGTTCGAATCCCGCTGTCAGGTACCAACTTTTCTAATAAAATACGCACTTAACAAATGTTCACGATCGACTTCCACGGTGAAAGAATAATATCGTGTGACAAAAATCAAACTCGCAAAATTATGATTTGCGTAATTACTGGTGGTAGGACGTCTTGTAGGTTTAGGGCACGGGTAGGTATTTTTTTGTTGCTTAGATGGGTGGACGAGCTCACAGCCCACCTGGTGTTAAGTGGTTACTGGAGCCCATAGACATCTACAACGTAAAATGCGCCACCCACCCTGAGATATAAGTTCTAAGGTCTCAGTATAGTTACAACGGCTGCTCCACCCTTCAAACCAAAATGCATTACTGCTTCACGGCAGAAAAAGGCAGAGCGGTGGTACCTACCCGTGCGGACTCACAAGAGGTCCTACCACCAGTAATTACGCAAATTATAATTTTTGCGGGTTTGATTTTTATTACACGATGTTATTCCTTCACCGTGGAAGTCAATCGCGAACATTTGTTAAGTACGTATTTCATTAAAAAAATTGGCTACCCGCCTGCAGGATTCGAACACCGGTGCATCGCTACATACGAATGTACCGGACTTCTTATCCTTTAGCCCACGACGAACCACTATACAACTACCCTGCCTCTCAAATATATTAAGTGTAATAATCTATGGCCCTGCCTATTTCTGCCGTGAAGCAGTAATGCGTTTCGGTTTGAAAGGCAGGGCAGCCGTTGTACTGTAAAAACTGAGATACTACTAAACTAAGATTTTATGTCTTGTTCGTCTTGACCAGCTTCGAGTTGAAATTAGAATAGTGTTATGAGATTATCAATAAGATCAAAACTAAACTGACAATTGAGTTGCGCACGGAGTAAAAAATATAGACTAAAGGATCTGTTTGAATTAAGCCAATGATGATGTCGTTTGAGGACAAACAAATGTCAAATGCATTTGATTAATATACATTACAAAAAAAAAAAATGTTTTTCTAAGTCTCATTTTACGACCCACGCTGGTTCTGGCCCAGCGGGGTATTCCGTAGGGTAACCCACTCTAACCGGCGCCATCTAGGCGGGCTTCGGACAGTCTGCCGACCGAGAGGGCTGGTGGTCGTGGCGCCGACGACCGCCAGTCCGGCGTCCCGAGGGGGAGGGTGATGGGAGAGATGTGCTCCGCACTAAACGCTTCACTTTCCCCCCTTTGCCTTGTCATGAGTTCTGTCTCATGCGAGGTTTGGACGTTGGTTGTTGAGCGACAGGAGGTTTTAGTCAGTTCGACTCTGACATACCCCGCCCAGTATCCCCAGAAAAGGGCGGAAGTCCGGCGATTTCCTCCTGACCAAAAAAAAAAAAAAAAGTCTCATTTTAATTTAAGTACCTACTCCATATTTTGAAATAGGTTAAGATTTCAAAATAATTCACAGACTCAGCACAAACTTAGCCCTTTCAACTGAGCAAATAGAAATTGTTCGGAGTAATTGGGTTATGTTTGAAAATTGTGTAATACGTATTCAATGCGTGTTTATATCATTATGTAGAACCATAATTATTGTTTGCACGCGTATTTTGTAATATTACATACATAGTTATATAGTACCGGTCCATATAGTACCACCAGGTGGTGTAATGCAAGAGGCCGGGTCAACTCGTGTGGATCTCCGTATTGTGAGCTTCTTCTGACCTTTGTTCACTGGTAGGACCGCTTGGGAGTCCGCGCGGGTAGGTACCACCGCCCTGCCTATTTCTGCCGTGAAGTAGTAATGCTTTTCGCCCGGTCATCATTCTCGTCGAACCCGTCACTTGCGTCGAAGGGCTAAAAAATAGTAAAAAATCTTCAAACAAGGTGCGAAAACAGTCTTCACATTAAAACCTTGAAATACATCAACAAAATCTGTTTCTGTGTTTAACAAAATACTCTTAGTTTTATAAGACTTCGACGATATGAGACTACGTCGCATTGTAAAGCCCGCATGCATACCCGGTTTGCCTCAGTGGGGTACCTATCGTAAGCCCGGATCGTAGGGTTTTGTGGCTCCTAATAGTTCCTTGACATCGCCAAGCAATTTGAAGGGCTTTTTTTCTACCTAAGCTGATAGCCTTGTTACCTTGAGAGGCTATTTCAACGTAGCCTTAACTAGTAGGTGAGCTCACGGGCTCAAACCGAAGTGATGCTAATACTGACCCTAGCAAGAGCAGTGCTTCGCAGAATCTACCGCCGGATCGGAAACGCGACCCGCTGAGAAGATCCGGCGAGAAACTCAGTGGGCTGTGTCTATGGGTTAATTTACTCGCCGAGCCCTTCGTCGCAAGCGACGGGTTCGACGAGGACGGTGACCAGGAAGGGGTTAAAAAGCATTAAATTATTGAGAATCTATGTCAATTTAAATTTCATGTCAATTCGTTTATGTAAAGCACTCACATCTATGCGGATCCTTCCGATCTGCTAGCTGTTACTTGACGCCTTCAGTTCTATTACTGGGAGTAGGCACAGAGGCCCTGGTTGTTGCACTCGTCAGACTCGTCGAGGAGTACGACGTGAAACCTAACCGATACACTGCTGGGTTTCTCGCCGGATCTTCTCAGCGCATCGCGGTTCCGATAGTAGACGCATTCGCGATGCAGCTGCTCTTGAGTTATTAGGTCTCCTCCGGAGGCAAGCGGGTCTTCTTCTTGCTTCGGTTTCCTCAATACTGAGGGTCGTGACCACCTCCTCGCAACAAGAGTTTATTACGGATCATTCTACGCCATTTGCCTCTATCTGAAGCCGAGTGTGGAGCAATCGGGTTAGCAAATCCCATCTCTCCTGGCTGAGCTCGTGCTCACCCACCTGTCCTGGTGAAACTAAAAAGGCCACCAGTAAACATTCCTAAAAAGTAGGTGTAACAGTTTAATAGTGTTTTATACTAGAGGCTAGATGTTGGTCGGATCTGTTTCTTTTTGTACACTAGAAGATTCGATTTTAGTATATAATTACAGAAGACTGTCTGTGTTAGTATAGGAGGTTATTTATAGAAGTCTGATCTATGAGCGGTTAGTAAATTTAATGCAGTAATATCAGTCAGCACTGCAAATTGTTCACCGTTGTTTACAGAGCGCGTCCGATATTGTTTCTACATGAGTCAGAGACGTCTGCACAGCTGCTAACAAACAATCAGAGAACAAAGTTTTTTTTATTGTTACCAACTAAAGCCTGCTATTGCATTCGCGTGGAAATAGACGTGAATAATAATATAATAATGATTATTTATTTAATATTATTTTAATATTATTAAATTAACCTTCTCCAAGGTCAATTGTCCGCTGATCGATTCCATGTGCGAGGAAACATCCACTGCAGTGGAGTCGTAGGAAGTAAAACTGGTGGTAGGGTCTCTTGTGAGTCCGCGCGGTTAGGTACCACCGCCCTGCCTATTTCTGCCGTGAAGCAGTAATGTGTTTCGGTTCGAAGGGTGGGGCAGCCGTTGTAACTATGCTGAGACCTTAGAACTTATATTTCAAGGCGGGTGGCGCATTTACGTTGTGGATGTCTATGGGTTCCATTAACCACTTAACACCAGGTCGGCTGTGAGGTCGTCTACTCATCTAAGAAATAAAAAAATATATATAACTACCTATGTCGCAGCCCATCTGATGTTAAGAGGTTGCTGGAGCCTATAGACATCTACAACATAAATGCGCCACCCACCTTGAGATATAATTTCTAAGATCTCAGTTTTTACAGAACAACGACTGCCCCACCCTTCAAACCGAAACGCATTACTGCTTCACGTCAGAAATAGGCAGGGTGGTGGTACCTTCCCGCGCGGACTCACAAGACGTCCTACCACCAGTCAGTAAAAAAATTAAATAACCATGTCAATCCTATTACAGATCTATTCCCCTTGATACTTAGCAGGCCGCGTGATTTTTTGACGGGAACGCGAGGAGTGAAGTTGTGTGATTTGTTTTATTTTGTCTATTTAGTGTTTCTTCGGGTTTAAATGTGTAATCCCTGTGGCGTATTAACTGTTTAATATCTGTGAAAATGCACAAATGTGGAAAAATGAAACAAAGCCGCTGGACGCAACTTCTCGGGATCCTTCAAAAAGTCCACGGAAAAAATCTCAGTAAATGACCACCATTTTTCTCAGATTATATTTCATCGCATATCATCTCATCTCCTTTCATTTAATTTCATACCAGTTGATTAGTGTCTCAAATTAATCATCTTCATTTCATTTCATTTCATAATATCATTTTTCATAAAAATAAGAATATAAATTAAAATAAGACATGATTTAGTTACAAGGTAAAAAAATCCCTAATAAATAATATGTAGCAGGCCGCGTAATGGATAATGCATTTGGCGATGTTCTCAAAATTCGTACGCAAGATTTAAAATAATAATAAATTAAATAAATAAATAGATAATTATTTCGTGATTTTCGCAACATACCGACGCCGGTATAATAAAATTTGATCACAGTAGATCTTTGGCTGATCGAAGCCAGTCAGTGCGAATGATTAATAACTTATTGAACAAAACAGCAATAAATTACTTCAATGTCACCACGCTCTGTATGAAAAGCAACGGATTCTGTTATTTCTGTTTCAAATAAAATATATTACAATGAAATAAATACTTGTTGATGAGTTTATTGTTAATGCATTTGTATAGCTCTGCACATTTATTTTATTTTATTTATTAGGCACACAATACAAATCACGAGCTAAAAAGATACATAAAAACACAAGTAAAAAGAAACAAAATCTGGCTTGCAACAATAAGCCATGTGCGCACGACCAAACAAGACAGTGCTGAATTTGTACACAATGTTCCTTACGACAAAACAACGCGATAACGAAAACTAATCTTACTTATATTGTAAGGAAATAATGTTATTCACAATATACAATTAAACAATTACACTACTTAACCTATTATTAACGTGGGGGGTGCCCTTGAACATTTTTACACGCTTTAAGTTTTTTTAGGCAAAATCCCAAGCCTTTCTTCACATTAGCAAAGGAACTATTTCCAGGAAGCCTTAAGCCTACAATTTCACATTATTTCATAAGACTTCTACATGAGAAAGGGCTCTTATGTCATTATACACAAAAATATTAGCTTCACTTGTATGTATGTTTGTAACTGACTCCTTTAGACGCGATTTTGACCCACTTTAAACGGCCAGATTTCATTCAAACTTTGTAGATTTATCGAGGACCGATGACAATTCAATATTAAAAAAAAAGAAAAATAAGAAATGAAAAAAAATTGAAATGCAACTAAAAATGAAATATAAAATTAATAGTTTAAAAAAACTAAAAAACACGCTTTATATAAAATTCAATAAAAAAATAGAAAAAAAAGCGTGGTATGCATGGTGTTATATTTTTCTGACAGATATGATTTCAATAATATCTTAAAAAACACCCCACGCTTTTTTACAATAGATTTACATATATATTTTTTACACTATTTTCAATTTAAATTTATTAAAAAATATTTTCAAATTTTTGTTGAATTTTATATAAAGCGTGTTTTTTAGTTTTTTTTTAAACTATTATTTATTATAAACGTCACTAACCTATAAGTAAAAATATCCAGCTTAGTTGACGACCTTGTCAGTTCGTTTTAGGTGGGTATTTAGGTATTTATATTTCTACCCTTCATTCTCATGGCCCAAGGTAGGCTGTGTCATCCGCGTCTTGATGTACATATGCTCCGAAAATCTTAGATAGTTCCCATCCCATCAGGAGGAGCTCATTAATCCATCAGGAGGACCTCATTAACCCATAAGGAGGACCTCATTAACCTGACCAAAGCATATTCGAGTTTAACTCCAAATCACACGTGTATTGGTTACAGATTTTCAGTATAGTTGCGTCAATATGCATTACAAGTTTGAGAGCTGATCCTGGTCTGGTGTAGTGGTAAGTGACCTGGTCACTACACAAGGGGGTCGCGGGTTCGAATCCCGCCAAGGGAAGATATTTGTATGATAAATATAAATGTCTTTTCCAGGGTTATGGATGTCTATTAAATATATGTATGTGTATAATAAAAATCTTACATTTATATCCGTTATCCGGTACCTGTAACACAAGTTCTTTACGAACTTATCACGGGACCAGTTAACGTGGCGTGATTGTTAAAAAAAAAACCAAAAAAAAAAAAAAAAAAAAAAAAAAAAAAAAAAATATGGCTAGTGGTAAGGCTATCGCGATAGGCGCGCCTATCTCTGAAGGTGGTAGCGGTTCGATAGCCATCGCTTCAGCCAAAGCAGTTGGTAAGGAGGCGGCTGTAGCAACTGCGGCGGCGGTGGATGAGCCTGGCGACGATAGAGGTCCAGAAAGCGAAGACAAAGGGAAAACCATTAGCAAATCGAAGAGTAGTGGCGATAAAGAGGATTGAGCCAGCTTAGGGTCTGTTACAATAAAACCATATTCATTTAATTTTTCATTGATTTGCTTAATTACAAATTTAGGTTTAAGTTTTTTGTTTGGGTCCCAACCCCTTTGCTATTACCGGTGTCAGAACGTGCATCTTGCTACCAACCTTAAGACGTCGTCGAAGTCTCAATTTGAAACGATAACACTTTGAAAAGGAAAGTATAGCTTCATTACGATGGAAATAAACAGGATTGTGGTATCTATTCTTGGCGTCACAATATGTTACTAGCCTGACGCAAAAAATATTGTGAAATAATGGATTAATATTAAAAATATGTGGAAAAAAACCACCAGCTATTAAAGCACTTCTATTCTATTATAAATAACAATAACTGTTTGTGCAAATGTTAATGATAAACTGCTGATGTCAAATTCTGTTATGGCTTTCTAAAGAGAACAAGGCTCATTGCATTTTATGCCTATAAAAGAATAATAAATACATTGTCACCACCAACATTTCAATGAACGTTATAAAAGCTTGAAGTTACTAAAGAAAGGTAAATCAAAATGAGGTTTGTTGTGGTGAGTTTGCATTTTATTTACAATTGATGTGTTCAGCCTTAGTCAGACATTTCGACCAGTCTGAAGTGAATACCAAATAATAGCCTCATGTTTAATTGCGCTACGTTTTACCTTCTTTTTTTTTATTGCCCTTGTAGGCAGACGAGCGTACGGCCCACCTGATGGTGAGTGGTTACCGTCGCCCGTGGACTTCAGCAATGCCAGGGGCAGAGCCGAGCCGCTGCCTACCGCAAATACCTATGACGTAAAATAATTCATAAATCGTTAGTGAAACTGTCGTGGCTCTGCACTGTGATCCAAAACGTGTGAAAATCAACAATTAGCTCACCCCGCGCCACTTGTCCTCTTTTGCTTATACTATGACGACTTACTATTACCAGCCAAAAAATTTAAGTCAGATGAACAATATAAACAAGAACCCATATTCGACATACAAATTTTTATATACTTTCTATTCGTACACTTTTTTTTTTATTGCTTAGATGGGTGGACGAGCTCACAGCCCACCTGGTGTTAAATGGTTACTGGAGCCCATAGACATCTACAACGTAAATGTAAGGAATAGTTACAACGGCTGCCCCGCCCTTCAAACCGAAACGCATTACTGCTTCACGGCAGAAATAGGCAGGGTGGTGGTACCTACCCGCGCAGACTCACAAGAGGTCCTACCACCAGTAAAACTTGACAGAATGGTCGTGGCCATACATTAGTCAGATCCTGCGATACCAATGTCATGTGGGACGATGTCACAGATTTTGTGAGGTCGGTCCATCGTGTTGGAGATCGTCCGCGATCTTTTACCCTTTCGTCTTTCGTCTTTTACCCTGGACTTTCCCTTGCACCACCAACCGCTAAATGGAGTCCTCATTACGAGTGATGTACCCGAAGAACTTGATATATAGGTACATGCTAGATTATCTTATAGTGTAGAGGACTTAGCCAAGACAAGGATTTCAAAGATGAAGGATCGTTGGTTTTCCTATTATCATAATATAATATGTTCCTTTACATTTTTATTTATCTAGAGATTCTACAAAATTTTGTATTTTAAATGCGGATTCGATTACAGATTTTCACAATTATTGCTGTGTACATCGTAAAGTCAGCTCCGGCGATCAGCCTGGGCAGGAGCGATGGCCCTTTAGTGGCGTCTCTGGATTTACCGGACGAAGACGGCGATGCAACGGCGTTTGCGATCTCTGGAAAACATACTGCCGCAGCCGGAGCCTTATCCACTGACGGAGCTGCCGTAGCTGCCGCAGGTCAGGGCAATGCAGTGGCCGCAGCGGCAGGAGACGGTGAGATCGTAACTGCAGTTGCTTCATCGCTTTTAGACGGAAACGATGAAGCTGACAGTGATAGCGGTGATCGATCTAATGGCAGTGATACTAAAGAATAACCTGATGATGAAGGAAATGGTGGTGGCTCTGATGAAGATAGTGGACCTGTTGTCGCTCAAGGCAATAGTGATGGTACCAAGGGTGGAGATGCCGAGGGCCAAGCTGAAGGTGACGTGGACAGTGATTCGGATAGTGATACTGACGGCAAAGAACAAGATTAAATTAACTTAATTATAGATTTAAATATTATTATGTACAACACCCCTGTGTATTCTTATCAAGAGGAAAGGATTTTCCCAATTAGGGGATTGCACCCTGAAAACCGAACACTTCATTTCATTATTGGTGATTGGATGGACGTTGCGTACTGGTAGGTCTGCCGTGAAGCAGTTATTGGCCCTGTTTAACAGGAGAGGCAGCCATTATGATATACCATTGAGTCTGCAATTGTTCCTTCGATCTCATGTATGAGGTAGGAAAGTAGGAGATAACTCACTGTTTTTAATTACCAATGTTCTTTATAGCCATTTAATTAGTGGTTTATCCGTTTTTTATTGCCAAGCAGCTTTGACACCACTTAGAAGTCGAGTCCGGGTTGGTTAATCAATTCACCAGGGCCTCACCAGAGAACCACAAATAAAGCCATGTATCTTAATTTTTATGTAGAACTAATGGTAATACATTATTCCTGGAAAAAAACCGGCATTGACTTTTCATAAATGTTAAAATCCCTAACCTAACACTTGCACTTAGATGGATACCGTAGACACATCTGGCTATGGAAGTGTTGACCCACCCACTAACTACCAATTCAAAGTTTCTTCAGAATTATGACAGCATCTTAAAGTATCAGCATCATGCTTATTCCATAAAAGCTGCCACTAGTGCCTGCCACCGTGAAGGGTGGGATGGCCATTATCTTCTATTAATTGAGTCTTCAAAGTCGCTGAGAATTTACGATGGTCAGAGCTCACATTGTGTTGCCTAAGAGCAGAGGCGGATTATCCGTAAGGCAAACTAGGCATGTGCCTAGGGGCGTGTAGTTATAAGGGGGGCCTCAGAGTTTTAAAATAAATAAAGAAAATAACATATCGACGATTAAGAACTAAATGCTGATCTATAATCTAAATCTTCTGTAGTCCCTCTTGATTTCTTCACAGTTATAACGACATACTTCATTCGTGCATTAGCGTAAGTACAAGGGTCCTGGTCTACTAAAGTATAGGGTTTGATGATACAACGTCATCGTAATTGCAAAAACAAACTAATTAAAATTTATAGTATTATGATGGCCATTTATGGCCGGTACAGGGGCGCCGATAAAGTGATTGCCTAGGGCGCTCTGGACCTTTAATCTGCCACTGCCTAAGAGCTTAACGTCATTTGCCTCAGAAGTTTATCTCTCATGAGACATGAAAGAGCCGGTAGCAATACGTGAAATAGAATGTGAATTAGAGGATATTTCACTCAAATAAAACAACACATTGATTCATGACATATTTATTTTAAAGCGCTTCAGTTACGCCCCCGAGAAGATCGCTAATAATATTAACTAATGACCCGGAAATCTCGATCTGGATCATGGCCGCTACAAATGCGGACATACAAACTAGGAACTGAAAATAAAATAAACAATTATCTCATTATTGTCCTGTGTGCTTAGTGCGAGCTTTTTAACGTTCTCGATAGCGTAAAAGTTAACGCAATTTTGTATGCAGAATACCAGCAGTAAATTTACCTACTAAAATATACCTATTGATTTCACTAGAAATAAGGTAACATTTCAACATAGTTAAATAGATATAGACGGACATCATACAATTTTACTGGTGGTAGGACTTCTTATGAGTTTGCACGGGTAGGTACCACCACCCTGCCTATTTCAGCCGTGAAGCAGCAATGCGTTTCGGTTTGAAGGCTGGGGCAGCCTTTGTAACTATATTGAGACCTCAGAACTTATATCTCAAGGTGGGTGGTGCATTTAAGTTGTAGATGTCTATGGGCTCCATTAAACACCAGGTGGGATGTGAGCTCATCGAACTATGAAAAAAAAACCAAACCAGCTCATCACACAAATGCTTGCCCAAAGTAGGTACCTCCACCCTTCCTGCCGTCAAGCAGTAATGCATTTCGGTTTGAAGGGTGGGGTAGCCGTTGTACTGTAAAAACTGAGACCTTCGAACTTATATCTCAAGGTGGGTGGCGCATTTACGTTGTAGATGTCCATGGGCTCCAGTAACCACTTAGCACCAGGTGGGCTGTGAGCTCGTCCACCCACCTAAGAAAAAAAAAACAAATCAGCTCATCACGCGAATGCTTGTCCGAAGTGGGTATAAGGCCCACAACTCCTGACCTGACAATCAGAAGCGCTAATCATCACTCCACCGGGCCAGTCAATGAAAGACTCGGCGCTAATAATTCCAAATATATACAGTGGTCACCGTCGCCCGTGGACATCAGCAATCACGGTAACAGACGGACCACTACTTACTGCGCTTACTTAAGACAAAGTAATCGAAAAACTAAATTAACTTACCGCAACTGAATCCATGGTTTTTTTTTTTAAATATTCTGTAAGAAGATCAAGTCTACACCGATACCGCCAGAGAATGCCTCGTAAAATTTCACTACAATTCTATTTTATACGTTATCATTAATAGGGAATTTTAAATGTTTTGAATATTTCTACGTTACAGCCTAATCGTAGATTTAGCTTTATTATGAAATGACCGTAAGTAATTTGAAAAAAATATTTAGTCGCATGTTGGCGAGAATCATAAAATTTTAAAAGTACAATTGCAAGAACAATCTAAAAATATTAAAATACATTTGTTACTTTAACGCAAAAATAAATGATAAACAATAAAATCATGATTGTTAGTATAATTTGTTATCGTTTTTTTATTATTGTAATTATTATAATAAAAACGGTAATCTTAATTATCATCATAATTCGTAACTTGAAGTCGTCGTGGCCTAAAGGATAAGACGTCCGGTGCATTCGTATCTAGCGATGTATCGGTGTTCGAATCCCACAGGCGGGTACCAATTTTTCTAATGAAATACGTACTTAACAAATGTTCACGATTGACTTCCACGGTGAAGGAATAACATCGTGTAATAAAAATCAAACCCGCAAAATTATAATTTGCGTAATTACTGGTGGTAGGACCTCTTGTGAGTCCGCACGGGTAGGTACCACCACCCCGCCTATTTCTGCCGTGAAGCAGTAATGCGTTTCGGCTTGAAGGGCTGGACAGCCGTTGTAACTACACTGAGAACATAGAACTTATATCTCAAGGTGGGTGGCGCATGTCGTTGTAGATGTCTAGGGGCTTTAGTAACCACTTAACATCAGGTGCCCTGTGAGGTCGTCCACCCATCTAAGCAATAAATAAATAAAAACTATACTTGGGACCTTAGAACTTGTATCTCAAGGTGGGTGGCGCATTTACGTTGTAGATGTCTATGGGCTCCAGCAGCCACTTAACACCAGCTGGGCTGTGAGCTCGTTCACCCCTTCAAGCAATAAAAAAAAACATTTCCTTGAAGAAAATGATCGCTATTTATCGTAAGCATTTTTATACTATCGCCGCGACATTTCCTTGCGATTGTCATCAGAGAATGGGACATTATTGCCTAATTTATTTAATTAATATCCAATTGTAATTATTTAATTTATTTTGTATTTATACAGTTGATAATAATATTTGTAAAGAAATGTTGTAATTTAAAGAAAATACTATTTATTGAGAATATGTTTTTATGTAAATGTTGTAGAGATAACTATTTTTGTCCAATGCCGATTGTATTGACCTCGATATACATTCAGACATTATNCTACGTTACAGCCTAATCGTAGATTTAGCTTTATTATGAAATGACCGTAAGTGACTAGAAAAAAGAATTTAGTCGCGTGTTGGCGAGAATCATAAAATTTTAAAAGTACAATTGCAAGAACAATCTAAAAATATTAAAATACATTTGTTACTTTAACGCAAAAATAAATAATAAACAATAAAATAATTATTGTTAGTATAATTTGTTATCGTTTTTTTATTATTGTAATTATTATAATAAATACGGTAATCTTAATTATCATCCTAAACCTAAAAGGTAATCTTATTAGTGAAAATTATTATCACGTGAATGATTTTCTTGGGGATGACATTGAAAATAAATGGATTTTTAATTATTAGTTGAATTATGGATGAATGAATGGTAAATTATATAATATTGTAACTATGCACTGCACTAAAATTCGCATGTCAAATAATGACAAAGCATACACGCTGCTTTTAATTTATGTAATAACTCATTTTCACTATGCTTGGCGAATAAATGATTTCTTTCTTTCTTTCTTTCTTTCTTTCATCATAATTCGTAACTTGAAGTAGTCATGGCCTAAAGGATAAGACGTCCGGTGCATTCGTATGTAGCGATGCACCGAATTATTGATTCTCGAATCCCGCAGGCGGGTACCAATTTTTCTAATGAAATACGTACTTAACAAATGTTCACGATTGACTTCCACGGCGAAGGAATAACATCGTGTAATAAAAATCAAACCCACAAAATTATAATTTGCGTAATTACTGGTGGTAGGACCTCTTGTGAGTCCGCACGGGTAGGTACCACCACCCCGCCTATTTCTGCCGTGAAGCAGTAATGCGTTTCAGCTTGAAAGGCTGGGCAGCCATTGTAACTACTCTGAGAACTTAGAACTTATATCTCAAGTGGGTGGCGCATGTCGTTGTAGATGTCTAGGGATTTTAGTAACCACTTAACATCAGGTGGCCTGTGAGGTCGTCCACCCATCTAAGCAATAAATAATAAATAAATAAAAACTAGACTTGGGACCTTAGAACTTGTATCTCAAGGTGGGTGGCGCATTTACGTTGTAGATGTCTATAGGCTCCAGCAGCCACTTAACACCAGCTGGGCTGTGAGCTCGTTCACACCTTTAAGCAATAAAAAAACATTTCCTTGACGAAAATGGTGGCTATTTGTCGTAAGCATTTTTATACTATGGCCGCGACATTTCCTTGTGATTGTCATCAGAGAATGGGACATTATTGCCTAATTTATATAATTAATATTCAATTGTAATTATTTCATTTATTTTGTATTTATACAGTTGATAATAATATTGGTATAGAAATGTTGTAATTTAAAGAAAATACTATTTATTGAGAATATGTTTTTATGTAAATGTTGTAGAGATAACTATTTTTGTCCATTGCCGATTGTAATGACCTCGATATACATTCAGACATTAATATCTTCCTTAACCTAATAGCTATTGCGTTAACATAACTTTTTTTTTTTAAATAAACTTGTCATGAAATATAATTATATATTTTTTGTATTTTTTTCCTACTTTGCACTAGATAGGAGGCATATTTAATTTTATAGTAACTACATTTGATGCGAAATGGTTAGCTGGTCCATAGATAGCAGAGCATGCATGAGATTCGATTCTAAATTGTATAGTATGACTAATGTTTCACTCTTCTAACCTTTAGTTTCATACGCCCGGTGTTCTTGTATTAAGCGATGCTTAGATGGGTGGACGAGCTCACGGCCCACCTGGTGTTAAGTGGTTACTGGAGTCCATAGACATCTACAACGTAAATGCGCCACCCGCATTGAGATATAAGTTCTAAGGTCTCAGTATAG